TGTGTGTGTGTGTGTGTGTGTGTGTGTGTGTGTGTGTGTGTGTGTGTTAGGAGGGGAACCTGCGGCACACGTGTGAAGTTGGTCTGCTAGAAGCGCTCCCTGCTGTGGGGAGTCAGGGGGAAGGCGATGGCCCCAGTACTGGCAGTGGCCTCTGGCTGCCTGCGGCGATGAGTGCGGCTGTGTGTGTGTACAAGCTGAGCGACTGTCCCGGGGTGCTGGTGTCTGGGGGGCATCAAGTCATGCTGAGACACCAGTGCAGGGCGTTACACTGGAGCCTCTGCTGGTGTGCTCACTCCAGTGATCTGCTCCCTAGAGGTCTTCCTTCCCGGATGGGGGTGGCTGGGGCTGATAGGAGTGGGTGTAGCTGCCTGCCAAAGCCTCAAAAGTAGCCTTCCAACTACCCTTTGACCTCAAAGAAGGGGAAGTTAGTGTCTGCTGAGTGCTTGGGCCACCCTTCCCTATTTGTGAAGGGAAACCTGGGGTCTAGGCCGCCAGAGCCCACCCAGCACCCCTTTATCCCTTCGACATTCAGCTAGCCCAGTGGTTGGCAGAGGCACCCTTCCTTCCTTCCAGAGATCCTCCTGGGACCCTCAGAATGCAGCACATACTCTTCCATCTTGGCCCCATGTACCCTTCTAGCTCCTCTCTCAACTGTCTCCAAACTTTGTCCCAGTCCGATGATCCCTAGGGTCTGGGAGACAGGCCACCAGAGGGATTTTCCCCTCCTCTCCTGCTGCATCGCACTTTGTTCCCACCTTCAGCTGGAGAATTTCTTGCTCTCTCCATCCCCACATCTTTGAACTGCTCCGCTTGGACCATCAAATGTGACTTTCAGGTCATTTAACAAAGCATGATGGAGAGTCTGTGGGGTGCCAGACGTGCCAGGTGCTGTTTGCAGGCACTGTTCCAGGCTCACAACTCCCTGAGAGACCGTAGGCCCTGTGTGGTCTTACAGCCCAGCCTGGACATAGGTGGTCGGTGCTCAGTGGTGTTTTATTGATTTGTACTTGGTCTCCCCTTAGGCAGCATTATTATTCAGGCAAGCGGGAGTGCAAGCCCACTGGTGCTTCTGGAGGTGGCTCCTTTAGGAAGAAAAGGCATGGGGGGGAAGGGGCTGCAGAGGGTGGGCTGCCCAGGGAAGTTCCCTCCTTTACCAACTGGGCAGCTGTGCTCATCTCTGAGGACAGGTGAGGGTGCCTCCCTCCCCGTATTTGAGGATGGGAGGACAAAGCTCCTGCCCTGTGTTGGAGGGGAGGGGACTCCACCCTGCAAATCATGGTGATAGTGGAAGCCAGGGAGTTCTGGGCTTCCAGAAACATTATCTAAGGCCTCACTTGGGTCACCATGTGCTCAGAGATTGGACTTATTTTCTATTTGGCCTTGCCTACAGAGTGCCATTGTGCCAGTCCTGGGCAACCTGTGCTGGATGTAAAACCTAGTGGAAGTTACGGACCAGTTTGCAAGCCATTCCGTGCACGGTTTAAGAGTGTGGTAACGGTGAGTTTACTGAGACTTACTCTTGGTGGACACAGATGCCAAGCTCTTTCCTGAACACTTCACTTGCTTGAACTCATTTAACCCTTGACACGACACAGTATGATAGATAATGTTATACGCCCCATATGACAGATGAGGAAACTGTTCTGGAGAGGTCACAGACTACTCGCCTAAAGTCTCAGTGTGAGCAGGTTTTCTCATTTCTAATGTAGACCGTGCCTTCGTATGAAAGTTGGTTAGTACACTGCACAAGCCTGGCCCGTAGTGGAGCTACTAGGTCCTTCAATGCAGCGGCCCTTTTATCCCCTGCTTCTGAAAGCATCTCATCGGTCCAGGCACGTAGCAGGCACCCCGGAACTCCTGTTGAGTGACGGGTGAAGTAGCTTCAGCCTCCCTTGGGCCAGCGAATGGGCCGACCAGCACTGCCATGCAGAGAAGATTGGGGCGTGAGTCACGGCCTCTATCTGTCTAGATAGATCAGGGTTTGCTGTGGTAACAGTCCCCAAATCTCAGAGGCTTAAAGCAGCAGAGGTTTATTTATTGCTCGCACCGCATCTGTCCCAAATCTGCTTTCTGTTGTTCTCACTGCGGAACCCATGCTGATTAATTGGAACATTCCTGGTCCCTTGGACAGGGGGACAGAGCTCATGACCAGTCTCACCCTGGCTCTTAAAGCTTCCACCTGGAAGCGGCATTTCACTGGCCAAAGCAGCCACGTGGGCCTACTTATACTTACAAGGTGGGGTGGCGAAGGGGATTGGGAACATTTGGTGAGTGGCACTAAATGCTTACCGTCTGCCTACCGTGGTGCCCTCCTCTGTGATGTCTTCCCAAGGCCTGGGTCTGAGTGTCACCAGAAACAGTGATCATGAATTAAAGAAGCACTGTTTAGGCTAAAGATGAATCGAAGTGCCACATTTGAAGGGCAGAGGTAGGGTGAACAAGAAAGAGTGTTAGGGTGGGAACAGGTAGTCTGCAGAGGCAGCCTGCTGGTCTGATCCTGCGCGAGTGACTTGGGTTCCTTGGGTTTCATTTATTCATTCGTGGGCCCAAGGACTAGTGAGTTCCAGGCCATGGATGATTTCTACTTCCATTATAGCGGTGTCCTCCATGAATCTGTGTGGGATACTCATACTTGTCTCTACGTCCATTTTCTCCCTCACGGCATGTTTTCTGGCTCAGACAAGGGCAGATGCCTGTGTGGGAACAGCACAGGCCCTGGTTGGTAGGAAGTGTTCAGAGCCTCTGCCAGTTAAGCATTAAGACGAATAACCTTGTTCGGCCTGTAGGGTGGACAGTGGGGAGGCCAGCTTTCGGGTTGTATCTGCTTTGTAGCCGAGTGACCCTGTAGACACGTCTTTGATTTTGTTTTCTTTGTTCCTCCTCCTGGACTTGATGTTCTCATCTGTAATGAGGGAGGAATCTGCCCTTCCTGTCTCTCATGGGGTTACTATAAAACTCAAGTGCACACTTCAGGTCCGGGAAGCAGAATGTTAGGCCTGACACTCTGGTTTGGGGCTCAGCAGAGTGCTCACCAGCAGCTGGTTCCGGGAACCCCACTTCCTCTGCTCTTGGGCTTGGTGGGGTTGGGTGGGGCTGGGCCAGGCTCTGCTGTGCTGTGGTTTTTCTCTTGGAGGCCTGGTAAGCTGAGCTTAAGTGGGCCTGGGCAGGCTGGGATTAAACTCTTCACTTCTTGAGGTCTGTCTGTTCTGCTTCCCTTGCTGAGCAGCCAGAGAGAAGGCTTAGAATCCTGGCGTCCATCAGCTAGGTAACTGGAGGGACTGGCTCCTCTCTCCTTGGGGGTCTGTCAGCCTGTGCTGTGTGGCAAGAGTCATGGCAGTTGGCTCTACAGCGGCCCCCGGGATCCTGGGTAAGAGGTGAGCTCCTGTTGCTGCCTGAGACTGTGTTTCCTGGAATTTGGCAGAGCTGAGGCTGGGCTTTCCCGCAGGGCTGCGGGTTGGGGGAGAGGTGAACCAGGACAGGGACCGGGCAGGGCTCGAGCCTGAGGAGAGAGGTTTGGTGACCTCTCTGGGTTTTCCCTGACTGAGGGTCCCCGCTGCTGGTGTCTGTGCCAAGCTACTCTGCAGGGCCCAGAGAGCTTTGAAAACAAAAAGAGGCTTTGAGGAATTCCTAGTGGTGACACCCAGGAGAGAGTCCTTAGCAGCAGCTGGAATCAACCAAGTGTCCTCTGAATCTCTTTCCTCTGCATCCCGAGGTCTGAGTGGCAAGTGGTAAGCCTGAGAGGCCCGAGGGCCACAGCATGCGCCAGGATGCATGGTCCCAAGGCAGGGTGTTGTGCTTCAAGCTTCAGAAGCCCGTCGGGGCGCCTGAGGAAACCTGGGCTTCTCCGAAAGTTGGCCATAAGGAAAAGAGCCACCTCAGCCTCAGATTGGGGCCTCCCGGCCGCTGCCAACTGCTCCGAGGAGAGGCTCTGGTTGCCCACTGAGTGACCGTTGCCGTGAAGAGACCTCCCTAACGTCTAACCAGCCTGCAGATTGGCTGTCTTATTTTAGGCCTTTACCCCTAGGCCAGGCAGACGGGCCTGTCCCTGGAGCTTGGTGGGGGAGGCCCGCCCCAGCCCCAGACCGAGTGGTTCCCCCGTTTGGGGACCAGGAAGATTTGGAGCTCCATGTTGTTAAAGAAATAATTATTCTGACACTTGAAGACAGTAAAGCAGACTTGATGTAGGACTTGCAGCAGACAGAAGGACTTCTGCCTTAGGGGTTTGTTAACAGACCTCAGGATTCTGCTGAAGGCTGGCTAGGGGGTCAGCTGTTACCTGAGGGTTATTGGAAGAGGAGGAACTGGTCAGACACGGAGGGCAGGGGATTCTGGCCAGACGGACCCAGCGGGATTCTTGCTGAAACTGGACGGAGATGGAAGCCCCAGGCCGGACCTGGCTGAGCAGAGGGCTCAGAAGAGCCTAAGTCTGGTCAAGGAGAGATTGTGCGTCCGTGTTTGAGGCTTGCAGCAGCCCACGTGCGGTCTCTGGTCCGGCTCCCGGTTCCTGCCCGGCCTGAGCTTCCCGCTCTTCCCACTTACTTCTCAGGAGCGGTGGCTCTCCTTGTTTCCAGAAACCGAGTTTTTTCAGCAACTGCTGGCTCCTCCCTCTCAGCCTGTTGGACTGCCCCTGAGCACCCAGGAAATAGTGTAGACCCGGGAGCTGGGCTCCCTGTGGGCCCCCGCCCCCCCTACTGTCTCCTGTTGCCAGACCTGTTGGGTGCCAGACCACACAGCCCCTTGGCTCCCCGACAACCCTCCCTGTTTGACTCTTGTTTCTTGGCCTCCGTACCTTGTATTTCTTGCTCTCTCCATCCTGGGCAAACCAGTCTGACAGCTTTGTGCATCACCCTCCTCTCGGCCTAGGGACTGGGCTGCCTCATTTGTCTGAGCTGGGCCCAGGGAGCTGCTGGGGGGTGGGGGGGGGAAGGGGGGCGGGTCTCCTCTCCCTGTCTGGGCTGTGTACTGGGGGCTTCTGGGTGGGAGCCCCCCAGCCTTCTTCCCCTGTTTAAGGCCTTCCCGTCCCTGCAACCAGCCAACCGTGTGTGACGCTCCTTGCTTTCTCTCTGCCCCTCCTCTCTACTTGGTCAGTCCTCACACTGATGAGCTTGTTTGGTGCGTCTTCTACTCCTGGGGGACCTTCTATCTCAACAGCCAACTTTTTAGGAAGGAGGCCACCTGCTGTTGTGAGTAAGAAGGGTGTGTGAAGAAAACCTCTTGGCTGTGGGTTCGGGGGCCTTCCTCTGTCCTGACGGCTCCAGGCCAGAAGCTGGCTCTGTTTCCTCGTTCTGCCTGCCATAGTCGATGTCTCTCCTCTTCCCGTGAAATAGAAGTAATGGTATAAATATGGATACATTTTGAGGGGGCATGTTGACAACAGAGTCTGCGGTGGTAGCAGTGGGGATTTCATTCCCCGGGGAGCCAGGAGGAGGGCGTGGTGTGTACCCAGGTGCAGAGGTGGCCCAGGGCCCCTCTGGGTGCGGGTAGCCCTGAACCGAACCGCTTTCTTGTGGGAAGACAGGTGAGGTAGTGGGGCAGGTGCCAGTGCAGATGCTGCAGGATTTGGTTGTTGAGCATCAGTGCTTGCTTCGGGGTGGGGGCCTTGCCCACTCATGCAGGAAGATGGTTGCAGAGGTCTGGCAGAGGCTGGTCTTGGTCTGATGGAAGGTTCTAGCATTTCGGGGAAAGAGCTGCCGAGGAGTTGCTCCGGGCTCATCGACAGGGGCGGGGACTTGTTTCCTAGCAGCTGAGGTTTGAGGGCTCCAAGTGCCAGCCTGATTCTGCTCGTTGTGAAATCTCATTTGTAATCTCTGGTTGGGGGGCTACAGATGAACACTGAGCAGCCATTGGAGAGCGTCTTATGGGATAGGGGAGCCAAACATACATACTTCCCCTCTTTCCAGCCTTCTTTCTCTGTGGCCTGGGTAGTCTGTGAACTTGAGGCCAACAGGAGATCTTTGCTGTGGTGGCCGGGGGTGTGGTGGCACTGAGTGGGGGCCTAGTTCTGCTAGGTAGAAAGAGTTCCATTCACGAACCACTCCCTGCCTTCCAGATGGTCTCACCCAAATATGGTCTGGCCAGTAGGCATTGTGTCATACCCTTCAGAAGCAGGAGAGACTGGGATGGTTATTATATTGTTCCTCAGGGGGAAAATCACTTGGAGGAAATACATCAGCGCTTCTGAGTGCAGAGTATTTATTGACATGCAGTTAAAGGAGGCTTTTAAACAACATATATGTATCCCTCTAGTAAGGAATAAATGTACAAACCTATCTCACGACTCCATTTTGCAGTTCCTATTTCCTGAAAGGTATATATATATATATATATATATATATATATATATATACACACACACACACATACATATATGGTTTAGTAGCTAAGGGATTGGGGTTTTGAGCTGGGATTTTGGAGAAACTGTTTTTAGCCTGTACTTGGAGTTGGGCCAGGCCTAGAAATCTGTTGAAATAGCTTTCTTTAACTGCTAAAATTGGGAT